GAGAGAAAGAAACGTCAATGTGTGGTTGCTGGAGGTCATGGCCTGCAACCCAGGCATGTACCCTGACTGGGAATTGAACCTGCGACACTTTGGTTCGCAGCCCGCGCTCAATCCACTGAGCTACGCCAGGGTCTTCATCCTATTTCTTAATGCAACCTGATCAAGAATTCAACCAACTTAAAATTCTTAAAAGAACATTTTGAGGAGGGGTGAAAAGAGTGAATGCTACATATTAATACCTTGGTTTTCATTTATATTTGAACCTTGGGAAAAATATACCAATTATTTTAATGGTGGTTATTATTTCAGATTACAGCTGATTTCTGCTTAACTCTCGATGCTTTTCAAAATTCTGCCAGTGACTTTGTATTGCTTTGATAATCAGGCAAAGAATAGAGGAAGATTGAATAAACGAAAGGACAAAGCGGCTCAGGGTGTCTGGTCGGTCTCCAGGCTTTCGGGTAAAAACGGGAGGGGCAGGCGTAAGACTCATTAAATGGTTTGCTCCACTTCCCTCGCACCTCTCAGAGGACCTCCTGACTCGGGATTCAGGAAGCTCATATCTCTACATTCTTACTTTTTTCGTCCTTCTTTCCCTTTGTCCCCAGTACTGCATCCCTTCCTGCTTTGGGCGGGAGAAGGATACGATCAAAAGAACCATCACCTCTACGTTCAGGACACTGTCTGTAGAGCTTTGGTTGCGGCAGGTGCTGCAGGGTTCTTGCCCTTGAGCTTACAAATCCTTCTTCAAACTTTCTCCTTCTCTCTTTTCCTGGATTTAAAAAAACTAATTTTTTTCTGACATCAAGAAATACCTGTTTATTGAACATTCCTCATGGCATATTCAAAATGCCCTGGGGGGTGGGGGAAACAATAAATTAATGTAAGTGAATGAACAAATTAGCAAGAGTACAATCTTGAAGACAGAGGATAAGGAGGGAATTCTAGGTGGGGGACATGCCTTGGGCAGTGAGGAGCACTTCTTCAGGACACTGTGATCTGGTCGGCCTGACAGGACCAAAGGTACACGTGGTGGCTGGTGTGGATAACACTAGAAAAAAGGCGAAGTGATAAAGTGCCTTTAACAAGGCTAGACAGCCACGTTTCTTGGACCTCAAGGATGTGTTGCATGTTTAGTTATGTATGTTTCATCCATTTAACAAGTATGTGCACACCTACTATGTGTGAGGTGCACTTTTAAGCACCAAACGAAACAGACAAGACCCTTGCTCTCCTGGAAACTGCACTCCAGTGGGGGCGGGGAGACAGCAAAAAAGATGTCAGATGTTGGGAGGTGTTCTGAAGACAATCAAATAGGGCTCTGTCACAGGGTATCTGTGGGAACCACCTTCGATGTGTCTGTCGGTCAGGGAAGGCCATATGAGGTGACATCTGAACCTGAGATAGGCAAAATGGGAAGAAACAGCAAATGCCAAGGTTCTAAGACACACAGATCACGGTGCGTTCAATGAAGAGAAAGACGGCTAGAGCCTAGCGAGCAAAGGGACAGGACAGGGCAAACCAGATAATTCTTTCATGGTAAGCCTTCCTGCTCACAGCAGTTAAGATGAAGAGCGACATCTCGGCTCCTTTTCTGGGAATACTCTCTTTTCTAAGTTATTTGGAAGAAGTGCTGGGTGGGAATTCAGGAAAATGGCTAGGGAGTTTGCCTGTCACTGAGCAAGGGGCACTCCGTCCTCCAGATGTCATACTCACCCCCCCTTCCTCATGGCTCCAGAGGCCAAGGTCTAACCAGGTAGGTCAGCTTTGCTCCGGAGGAAAGGGCATCAGGGCTCAGCCTGACTGGGGGGTGGGCAGAGGACACGACCCTGGGTGGAGAACTTAGAGCTGATCTCATCTACTCGTGAATTCACTTGCTCTCCAGATCCTGGCGAGCACCTCCCTGCATGAGACATTTGCACCAAGCGCCTCACAGAGGCTCCTGGGTACGTATGCTCAGACTGTCCACTTCACAGATCCACAGGTTAAGTGACTTGCTCAGGATCATACAGCAGGAAGTGGCAGAGTAAGGCTGAAACCCAGTTTCTTTTTTAATTTCCTAATTTGTTAATTGGACATAAATATTCCTGACATTCAGGAAGTTAGAGAATAACATATCAAAACCCACATACTCCACAGAGAGCTCAAATACAACTTGAAGCCTCCTACGTACCTCTCCTCTTCCTGCTGAACAATGTGGCCCCGAGTCCTCCCACTTGGGAAACACTGCAAATGGCATTGCCACCCACCCTGGGGTACGAGCCAGAAATCCTAACAGGTACCACGGACACTTCTCTCTTCGTCCAATCAGTCACCGAGTTCAATGAACTTGGTATCTATTTCTATTTCCACTATTCTTCCTACCCTTCTGCTTTGTACAAGTATCATCTCTTATCTGGATTATTACAATGGCTTCCTAACTGGTCTCTCTGCATCTACTCTTTGCTCATTGCAGTCTAATCATCCTTAAAACCTTTCAATAGCAGCTCTTTGCTCTTAGGATATAGGCAAAAGTCACTTGTATGGCATGCAAAGTTTCATATGGGCTTTCCCCTACTCAACACTCCAGCTTTATCTCAACCCCTTGCTCTCTGTGTTTTGGAGGCTCCAGCCTTCTTGCAGTTCCTTATAACTCCCAGGCTCCCTCCTACCACAGCCTTTGCACATGCTGTTTCTTCCTTCTCCACCTGAATGACTCTTCCTTTTCTCAGCTCAGTTTTCCTTGAGCTGACTATATAGTTCCTTGGCATCTGTCACTTTTGACAATTTTACATTTGTTTGTGAGAGTAATTATCTTATCTTCCCTAATCGGCCAAGGACCAAGAACCTCTTGCTTAGTACCAAATACATGCTAGATAGGAAACAGCCAATGTGTACACACTACCATGCCAGGCAGCGTACCTAGCACTTTACATCATTACCTCACTTAAGAACTCCCCAAATCCCGTTTTGAGGTTGGTAAGTTAGCTCCATTTTACATAAGCAAAGGAAAGTCAAACAAGCTAAGTGGCAGAGCTGGGATACAATGACCTCATGCAATCAGTTTCTAGAGTATGTGTACAAATACTCACACTTTGATTTCTCACTAGCATCTGCTGAATGCAGGAGGGTGTTGAGTGATTTTGATAGAACTAGACAGCACCATCGGTAACGTCTGCTGAACTAAAAATCATTTCACTCGGGTTTTGTTAAAGATCTTATGTTTACACCTGCTGCAAAACATTTCCTAGCATTTTATTCCGGCTGCTTTGGAAATCCATTTGCCTTCACTGGTATTATCATGACTGACGTTGAGCAGAAGAGGTGGCTCAGCAAACTGCTCGGGGTCAGGAGCAGGTTGGCTTTGGAGCGAGACAAATTGTGGATCACTTGGAGTATGGGTAATCCACGTAAGGCCAATTCAAAGATCTTCACGGATGTCATCTCACTTAACCTTCATTGATTCCTAATAAAGTCACGCACACAGGGCAGTTCTTCCTCAGTTAATAGATGAAGCGAAAGGCTGGGGTTAGACTGCTAAGCCATAGGAAATCGACCAGTTACAGGATGGGGCGAAGAGAGTGACCCGCACTTCTGCTTTAGAACTCCAACAACATCTCTAGCAAAGTCCATTTCTTCCTCTCTTAAGTATTAAATTTAGCTGGCTCATCCTTTCTAATTCTTGAGTGGCACTTCTCAGTGAGGACAGGGTTCCTCCTAGGTTTTCCCAGTATGGCTAGAGTAGGGTAATTATTCCACAAGTTCAAGCTTCATGGTCAAGAGCTCTACAAGCTACCTACATCCAATTAACCCTGGAGCAATATGGTGAAAATGAAACAATTCAGAAAATTCTTCACATAGAGTCCAAGTATCAATGTCAGGAGAAGTCAAGAAACTGTGCACGTTTTCTTTATGTGCATTTTACTAAGATAAGGCTTTAATTAGTTCCTTCCAGGGCTTAGAACTAAAAAAGGCGAAGAATCACGATCCCTCACGCCTGTACACGCTTTCTTTCTGGCTCATCGTTGTACCTTTATAGAAGCATCTTAGCAGATGAAATATTTCTATTCCTTTAAGTACCAGGTAGCTATAGGTGGAGGTCTAAGAGAAATCCAAATGCCCACCCCATGTGAGTTAGACCTTAAACCAGCACAGGTCTCACATCCTATAAATAGGTCTAAGGGAAGTAATTAGCATTCACCTCCTTGGAGGGGGGAAGCTGTGTGTAAGGCCAGGGGTAGCCAGGAGAGCTGGAGTCCAGTCCCGAGCAGGCCACTAACCGGCTGTGTAACCTTGCACAAGTTGCATACCCTCTCTGGCCTTCGGCTTCCATATCTGTGAGCTGAAAAGTTGAATCGCATGTTCAAGGTCCTTCCAAGCTGTGAGACTAGTACCAAGAACACCCAGCCATGAAAGCAGCTTCCTGTGGGCGCGGCGCAGGGCTTTAACGGTTCCCCCCTCCCCCGCTTAAGCCCGCGAAACCCTCTTCAACACGCCCCTCGGAGTGACGGTGCTTCCCCAACCGCAGCCAGAACACGGCTCCGCCTCTTCCCGGGGGCGTCCCGTCGTGCCCCGCGCCGGGATCCTAAAGCGGCGCGGTGCCTCCCGCCTTTCCGCGGCCTCGACCCCGAACTCCTCTCCCCAATTCTCCCGGGCGCCCTATCCTATCAACGTCCAGTATCCCAGCCAATCACGCGGGCCCAGAGCCTTGCCTTCGGTCCACTCTCTTCCCAGTGTTCAGCCCGTCTGAGCCCAAGGCCTTTACCAGGCCAATCCAATCAGCAGCCCACCTAATCTCACTCCCCCTCGGCCAATCTACGCGCCCCATTCCGCTGCCCGCCCAACCAACCCGGGTCTTGAAACCAGTGGGCGAATGGACGAAGGGCGACCCTTCAACGCTAAATGCCTGGCCAATTGGGGATTCCGCGTGGCCAAGGCAGCAGCCAATCCACGTGGAGCGCGGTGCCGCCGCTGAGAGGTCCGGCCCGAATATCCCTCCGCCTTCTTCCCTCCCTCCCTCTCTCTCCCTCCCTGCTATCCGTCGTTCACTTACAGCCTCCCTTCCTTCTTTCTCCCTCCGCCACCCGAGCACCAGGCGCGCTGTGAGCTGCCCCCGGGGTCCCTCCCCCGCCGCCAGAGGAGCAGCTGCCGCCGCCGCCAGCAGCAAATTGGGAGGAAGGAAGGAAGGAAAGGAGGAAGGAAGGGGAGCCAGAGCGACTAACAAGAGGGAGCCGGTGAATGGGCTGGTGGTGACCCCCGCCCCCCACCCCACCCTCCCTTCCCACCCGACCCCCAACCCCCATCCCCAGTTAGAGCCGCCGCCCCAGAGGCCGGACCGTCGTCTTAGGAGCAGTCGTCGCCGCCACCTCCGCCATGGAGTTGATCACCATCCTCGAGAAGACCGTGTCTCCGGGTAGGACGCGGGGGCCGGGGGTCGGGCTGAGGTGATTGGGAGGGGGAAGGGAAGCCCTGGTCCCTCTGACCCTGTCCCCTTTCCCACTTTCCTTCCCCCCAGATCGACTGGAACTGGAAGCGGCGCAGAAGTTCCTGGAGCGTGCGGCCGTGGAGAACCTGGTGCGTGCCATCCCGCCGGCCCCCATTCCTCCGTCTTCCCATCCTCTGCTTGCGGGCCTTCCCGCCCTCCCGGAGGCCCAGGCCTCGGGAACCCACCCCGCCCCATCCCGTCCCCCTCCCCCCCAACCCGGTCCAACCTAACCCCGCCATCGGGAAGCCGGTGGGTGTGTCCCGCCCCGGGCCCCGGCAGCTGGCCAATGGCGCTGCGCGCCGGGGTGACTGCTGCCCAATCGCCTCGCGGCCTGAGGGCGGCGGTGCAGCGGGAGGGAGAAAGGGAGGGAAGGAGAGGCAAGTTAGGTTGCGCCGCGCTGCGTGTTCAGCAAGGGTGGGGGTTGGGGAGCCGGGCCTAGGGGCCATGTGGAAGCTCCGGGCCCGGCTCCCCGGCCTTTTCGGACTCGGGCCTGCTTCTCCTTCCTGTCCCGTGGCTCCTGTGATTCTCTTCACCTACTTCTCAGAGCTCTACCCTCTACCATTTCCCTTGGTCTGTGCTCACAGACAGGCCTGGTCCCCGAGTGCCTGTTGACCCATTCTGGGCAGTATTCTCCCTTCCCAGGCTGATGATTCCTCTCCCGGGTTTTTTTTAATTCTATGAGTAGAGAATCTACCCAGACAGCAGACTGAGGCTCATTCTTGACCTCGGGCCTGTTTCCAGATGAGATCACAGAGGAAAGTTATTCGTTTATCATAATTTAAAATTTAAGGGGTACAGGAAAAATGAAGATAAGTCCACTGCAGTCTGGACTTCTGCATAAAAATGTGGGGTGGATTGATTGAAACAGCCTTTGCCAGCAGTGTTTCTCTGTGGTGTCCCTTTCCTGTTGGGGGAATAGGAAGCAGAGGGAAAGGTGGATCATACTTGACATCTTTTAAAGGTAATAAGTCTAAATAACTGAACCACGTGTTCTTTGGGTTAATTAGGCAAATAACATAACCAAAAAATAGTGACAAGCCTATTTTATAAAATGCCTTTTTTTACTTTGCTTTTAAATGTGCTAGATTTTAGTACCTTTTTTATCATTAACTTTCTGTGGAAAAGATTTTTCCCGCTGATACAGGCTGATGATATTTCCATTTGGTGTATATTCCTGTTTCTGCTTTTGTTAAATTGGAAGAAGTCTTTTGTGTTGTTTCTGATGTCATTTAGTAGTACATAATAAGACTTTTTTTTAAGAGTTATCTTCTGCTGTGATTGCAGACCTTGTTAGTGATAAGACATAATCTGCTTTTGTTTTTTTCTGTTAAGTTTTCAGGAACATAAAAGATTATTGACAGCTTTTTCAGGGTTGAGAAGTATATTAAAATTTTAAAGGGAGTAGCTTTGGGGTTCTGCATTACAAAAGACTGAGTGTTCTCTTTCTAGAATCCACTACGTTTAGTGGACAACTCAAGTCCAGAATGTAAAGGCGCATTTAGTGTGTTAACTGTTGGTTATTAAATGTAAAATGATTTTGCCTTGACATTTTTATCTTTTCACTTTTCCCCTAAATCTAAGTACCTTTTTTTTTTTTGCTTATAAATCTGCTTTTTTCATTGTCCCACTTGCTGAACACTCACAACCAAAATAGAGAGGACTAGCTTCCTAAGTCTGTGTTTTAGGTTTATAAGTATTTGCCTCTCATACAAAATCACCTGCTTCCATGAGCTCAAAAGCCGCTGTGAGTATCATTCCTTTTGGACTAAGGTTTTTTTAATTTAGAAAAGTATTTTACTTTCTACCCTGTCATTACATATTCATTTATTCTACAAATACTGAGTACCAAGCACTGTTTTAGGTACATTAAAAAATTGAACTTGCTTTTAGTTCTGTGGGATCTAATGTGAAGATTTGGGCACTAAGTTCTTGTTAAATGCTGAAGCTGCATGAGAGACAAGATGACTTCTTTAATGTACTGATGTTTTTATAGAAGTCTTAAAGTAGATATTGTGGTGTTTTCTGGGACATAATATGTCCTAAAAAATTTAGGTTTCCCCCAGTGTTTTTGGTGCTCTGTCAGCTATCCCAGTGGACAAAATTCCCAAGAGATATTTTCATTCACCAATGCATCTTCTTTTAACAGCCTACTTTCCTTGTGGAACTGTCCAGAGTGCTAGCAAATCCAGGAAACAGTCAGGTTGCCAGAGTTGCAGCAGGTCTACAAATCAAGAACTCTTTGACATCTAAAGATCCAGATATCAAGGCACAATATCAGCAGCGGTGGCTTGCTATTGATGCTAATGCTCGACGGGAAGTCAAGAATTATGTAAGTAACTTTTGTCTCTTTTTGGTCATACAGACTAGGAAACAAGAAAAAATTTTGTCAGTTCTTTTATCATTTGCATGGGTTAGAGCTGATGGATAATAAGTTTCTAGTACCTGTACTTCACTTGATATTTGGTTTAATCCATTAATGGATTGGAATTTTTTTCACATAACTGAGGTAGACTGCAGCAGTTTGGGAAACTTAAATTAGATGCCAGAATTTGTATAGTCTCTGGAAAATTGGAGTGGTATATAAATTGATGGTTCCCAAACTTGAGTTTTCAGAATTACTTAAGGAATTTTTTAATGATATGTTTCCAAGCTCCCTCCAGAAATTTTGATTCACAGTGTGAGGCTTGGGGATATTTTTAAAATTCTATTCCCAAGTGATCCTTCCAGGCAGCCAGCACCCAGCTCTTGTGGAAATTCTGCTGTAAATAATTCTCATTGTTTGGTGGTTTAAGCATGCTACTATGTGGAGTCAGAAGGGGAATTAAATCATCTCTTGAGCCTTTCAAACCCAAAGAATTTGTGATATAAGATTGACATTAATGGTGTTTTTATCAAATACTTAGCAAATTATGCAAAACTTGCTTTAGAAACATCTGGCTTTTAAGCAAGCATTTAGAGTGGGCTGATGAGTTTTGCAGAAAATGAGTGTACTTTGTTGCATTATGGCATTCTTGTGACTTTTTGTTGAATTAGTAATTCATATTTCTAGGTGTGGCACAAGATTCAGAATATATGGACACGTGCTTTGCCTTTTTTTTTTTTTTTTTTTTAAAGGAAGCTGTTTAACTTCCTGTCCTGTATGTATAAGGCACAGAGAGCAAGTCAGGCATCATTGGTCCTTGGTATCTGAGGGGGAACCGATGGGGGATTCTTGTGTGCACTCGTGCAGGTGTGGTTGTGATACTGTCAGGTGTGGTTAGGATGTACACATAATATTTGCTGTTTGCTACTTCTAGGTGTCAGCGTTAGGTAAATTAGTGCCCCTTTAGGCAATACATTCTCTTTCTAGTTTCGTGCTTCTTTATGACGGAACTAGGTTATGAAAGGCAGCTTATTTTGAATCTTCTTTGGAACAGAGTTACTTCTGTCCACATTGGGTCTGCTTATGTAGTAACATTTTAATTCTCCTTTCAGCAATTTGATATAAATGAAGTTTATCGTTTATGTCATCACTGCAAAGCTTGATGCATATACTGTGCCCAAAATGAGATAAGACATGAATGGTACTGTAACTGACTTACACATTTTGGCACATTACTTAAAATTTTTCTAAAAATTGAATGAGAATTTGTTGCACCCTCGTGAATAAAGAAAAAATAGCAATCGTCTTGCCCTTTTTCCCTTTTATAGGTAATTAATATCTTAGTACTGGTGGTTATTTCTTTTTTGAAATCTGGGTCTTGAAGGCAGTCGAGGGTTGGTTTCTTATTTTTCTTCAGATCATTAAGCATTATCGTTAGAATCACCCCTAGTTTGTTTGTGTTTTTAAAGATTTAATTTATTTGTTTTTAGAGAGAGGGAGAGAAACATAGATTGGTTGCCTCTTACGCGTCCGTCCCCCAACTGGAGACCTTGCCTGCAACCCAGGCATGTGCCCTGACTGGGAATCAAACCAGCAACCTTCCAGTTCACAGGCCGGCACTTAATCCACTGAACCACACCAGCCAGGCTTTCAGTCCTCCAAAGTTGGATATTTGTAGTCTCTAAATTACCTTAGGTGGCCCTGGCTGAGTATAGCTCAGTGGATTGAGCGCAGGCTGTGAACCAAAGGGTCACCAGTTCAATTCCTAGTCAGGGCATATGCCTGGGTTGCGGGCCAGGTCCCCAATGGGGGCCACGTGAGAGGCAACTGCACATTGATATTTTTCTCCCTCTCCCTTCCCCTCTCTAAAAAATATAAGTAATAAATACAATCTTAAAAATAATAAGTCGTCTCAACTTACAGCAAATTTAAAAGGAGCAAAGGTAAAGGTGGATTGGATTTAGTACTCTACATATGTATGTTCTAGGAGACGGTGCAGTGTAGTACATATAAAGTCACTCTGGACCAGGAGTGCCTCTTTAGCCTCTGCCATTTTGGACAATTCATCTCGACCCCTCCTCCTCCTGTAGGCTTTTGACACACAGTTTTGTTCAAGTCCATTGTAGCTTTGGTAGCCCTAGAGAGCAAAAACTAGAATCAGTCAGAACTTACGTTACTGGGTAGAACTGTTGGGAGTAAGGGCAACCAGGGGTGGTGATATACTGTATAAGGGGGAAGGATGGGGAGTTCATTATTATTAGCTACAAAGCAGCATACTGAGTGACCTGACCTAGTCAGCAGAGCTGGCCTGAATATTTGGCAGCTATCCTTTGTCCTGTGTTCATGCCAGGGACAGTTAACTGTTTGCCTTTTGAGTGGACTGGTGATTCTTAGTTCATTGACTGAATTAGCTGATCGTGGTAATGATTAACCATGGGTCCATTGTGGCTCCATCCTTTATCTGTACCTGTGCCTTTACCCTTCTCATAAATGCTTGTATGATTGCCATCTCAAACAAGAGTGTTTAATGATAAGCAGATCTCATTTTAATTGGTGTATCTGACCTGTACTTGGAAAGAACAGTTCTTTGATTTGAGGGGACAACAGACCCTTTAGGATTGGAAGTTAAATAGTCAGAAACTTTGTACCTGCGTCTAGTGATGTTACTTGACCCCAAGATCTTTCCGTGAAAGTCACCCAGGCTGCTAAATTGTCAATGACCAGAGGCAGAAGGTGTGTTCCACATTTCATCAGTGGGAAGATCTCCTCCTTGATTCAGATTAGACTGTGGTCTACTGGGAATCAGACCCTGCTGAGTGCCCCAGAGTTCATTAGCCTCATCCTAAAATCCCACACTTGCTATCCACAAAACAAGGCTGTGAGCATCCTTCCGATACACCACCAAGCAACCTAGAAGGTGAATTTTGTCATCTCCTTTGCCTTTTTAAAGATTTTATTTATTTATTTTTAGAGAAGAAGGGAGGGAGAAACATAACATCAGTGTGTGAGAGATACATTGATAGGTTGCCTCTCACGTGCCACCAGTTGGGGACCTGGCCCACTACCCAGGCACATACCCTAACTGGGGATGGAAAAGGCGACCTTTCGGCTGGTGCTGAATCCACTGAGCCACACCAGCCAGGGCTCCTTTGCCTTTTAACGCTGTCTCCTAACTGCTACTTTTCTTTCTTGCATTGAACATTGAAGTGAGGTGTCTGGCTTTGGAGAATTCCATTTGGAAGTAGGGGATGGGTGGGGTTGGGGTTTTTTCCCCCTGGGGTCTGGGACAGGGTTGGTTGTGCAGATATCAGTACTGGGACTGTCATGTCAGTACTGAGGCTGGTGGTGGCGGCTGCTGCTGCTTATTATTATTATTTGACAATCGACCTATACTGTATATGCCTTTTCCTACTTTTCTGTGTTACAGAAAACTCAGACAAATATAAGAGATGTTCAAATATTTGTATATGTGTGTGCATGCAGGTTTTGCAGACTTTGGGCACAGAAACTTACCGGCCTAGCTCTGCCTCTCAGTGTGTGGCTGGTATTGCTTGTGCAGAGATCCCAGTGAACCAGTGGCCAGAACTCATTCCTCAGTTGGTGGCCAATGTCACAAACCCCAACAGCACAGAGCACATGAAAGAGTCGACATTGGAAGCTATTGGTTACATTTGCCAAGATATAGTAAGTGTTCCCTCATGTTGTCTAACATACATAACTGTGATTTCAGCTGGTTCTGATGTGCATGGTATTCGAAATATCTTTATCATATCATAAGGTAAACCAAGCTACTGCAAAGTATCTTGAAAGTAGAACTGCTTTGTTAATTTAGGCTTCTAAATTAGCTTATCCTCACATTGTTAATCATGCCCTAAAATTAAGAGACTTAGGTGTCAAAAACTCAAAATGGAAATCCATATGTTTGGAGAGGCATAGATCCTAGACTTTTAAGGGTCTTCTCTGTATTGGAGAATCCCTAATCTGATCCCTTCTTCATGATCCTCTGTGTACCATGGATGCTGTGTTACATTTCCATTGACTGTTTACAGAAACAGTGTACCAGCTCTTGCTGTAATTGGTTTAGCCGCTGGAACCACACGCAGTATGGTACGTGCAGCCCTCTTAAGGCTGTTGTTGCTGCTCAGGTTACCAGTGTTGGTGTCTGTTTTGATACACAGGCTGAAACAAAGAATGCTGTGGCACTTGACATGGGCTTAGACTCCTCTAATAAATTATACTACCATTTCCATTTGCACAGGAGGGCAGGGGATGGGAAACAGATGAAGTTGATGGGTTTAACTTGTTTCAGGTCAACTTGGACTACCAGACCCTGGGGTATTTTGTCCCCAAGTAGGAGTGTGTAGAGAAAGGTCAGAGAAAATCCTGACCGTTGCTCAAGTGGATTTCACACTTAACAAGGACTGCTTGTGAGGCGTGACTTCATTGTGATAGTCACTGCACTTCTCCGATCATTTCAGGACCCAGAGCAGCTACAAGATAAATCCAATGAGATTCTGACTGCCATAATCCAGGGGATGAGGAAAGAAGAGCCTAGTAATAATGTGAAGCTGGCGGCTACTAACGCACTCCTGAACTCACTGGAGTTCACCAAAGCCAACTTCGACAAAGAGGTAAGGCCTTTTGACAGAAACGTAGGTTCAGGGGGTGAGAAGTGAGACTTAAATGAAAGCTGTCTTATTTTCTTTTCTTTCTGTCTTAAGATTGTGATTTAGAAAGAACTGTCTTGTTTAGAACCATTTATTTCTAATCTAGTTAAGATTCGTGTGAGATGTGGCGGTGGCATAGAGTTAGCCATTTTTCCTCAGGCTTTTGGGAATAATGCCATCTAGAGTCTCTAAGCTTAGGGTTTCCTTTTGCGGTCCAAAGTCTGCTTTGGGATTCAAAGAAAATCATAGAAATCGGGCTGTGTTTCATAGCCCCTGAGGAAGGCGCTTTTGAAAATTAATACATAAAATTTATTTTGCCTAAAAGTGTTTCCTCATGTATTTATTTTTAATTGTGTTAAAAATAAAGTAGACAATAACAAAATTTACTATCTTATTTTTAAGTGAACATTTTGGTAGTTTGAAGTATATTCACATTGTTTTGCAACCAGCCTCCAGAACTTTTCATCTTGCAAAACTGAAACTGTGTCCATTAAATAACTCCCTGCTTTCCCCTTCCTCATTCCTGACCACCTTTCTAGTTTCTGTTTGCACGGTTACTCGACTTTCTGTTTCTGATTACTGTAGATAGGTTATATAAGTGGATCATACAGCATTTGATTTGTCCTTTTGCAGTTGGCTTATTTCACTTACTATAATGTCTTGGGTTCATGCATGTTGTAGCATGTATGAATTTCCTTTTTAAGGCTTGTATCTGTATACTGCATTTTATCTGTTTATCTGTCGGTAGCATATGGGTTGCTTTCTTCCACTGTCTGTCAATTGAGAATAATGCTGCTGTGAACATGGGTGTTGTTGGCATGAGGACCCTGCTTTCAAATCTTTTGGATATACGCCCAAAAGTGGAGTTCTGGATCATATGATCTGAAAGTATTTTTGTATATATGCTGACCCTTTACCTGGGCTTTTTGTCATGTCTTGGCCTTAGGGTGGGCAAAGTGGGAGGTCTAAGGAAGGCCAAGGTAAACTGAAGTCTTAATTGCTTAGAATATACGGGTTTTCCTTTTAGATTTCAGAAGACTTGGGATGGTAGCAAATAAAGTTCATTATTCTGTTTTCTCATATCTTGCCACATTTGATGTGGATTTGCCACCTCCCAGGACACCAGTTTTGTCACTGAAATAAAGCAGGTGTTTCTAATTCTCTTAATTTTTAAATACAAAGAAACCGGTTTTCCTCATGTAGGTGATTTTTTTTGTTTGTTTTGTTTTTTTTGTTTGTTTGTTGTGTGTGACCTACATTTTCCTATCTATTTTCTTCCTGGAGTCTTGTTAGCAAAGGTCATTTTGGGGATAAGAGATTAGGGACCTCCTTTGAGAAGACACTGTGAGGGACACTCTTTATAGCCTTCATAGTGCCATTACTGTGTCAAGGTAAAGTTGCTTGATTGGTCCAAGATTGTGGGTCCATGAGAGAGTAAGTTTTTTCTTGAGGGATAGTTTAGCAGTCTTCATATATATATGGTCTGTCTTCTAATTCTTTTTTATTTCTGCAGTCCGAAAGGCACTTTATCATGCAGGTGGTCTGTGAAGCCACACAGTGTCCAGATACCAGGGTAAGTATGAGGTCATTGAAAAATTTGTCACCATCTTTCCTGGAAAATCCCAACTCGAGCATGGTAGGTTGAAATGTTGGGAATCAGGTGACTTCAGAAATAAGGTTTGACCGATAAAAAATTTTCTCTACCAAATTGAAGAGGGAAGAACAGGACTTGGAAAATTAATATAATAGAAATTGATTTCTTGAAAAGAGCTTAAGGGAAAAATGTTTTCTGATCCACCTTGCTACCTAATTGCCATAGTTCATTCAAGTGCCTGTTTTCCAGTGCAGCCATTGAAATAGCTTGGCTATTGTTGTAACTTAAATCTTGACCTCGGAGCAGGTAGGAGTAACATCTAGTTTGAGTGGCATTAGTGAGTCTTGTCCTGCTGTGGCTTCCATGGGGGAATGAGGAATAACCCAGATGTACCATGCTTGACCCTTCGGGTTATTGACGTACCTGAGTGAAGTGTAGTTACTTTTGTCAAATTGCCTTGTTATGTTAAACTGAATGGTAAAACATTTTACCTGTTCTTTGTGAAAGGTACGAGTGGCCGCCTTACAGAATCTGGTGAAAATAATGTCCTTGTATTATCAGTACATGGAGACGTATATGGGTCCTGCTCTTTTTGCAGTAAGTACTTCCTAGTTTATGTATTTGAGCACAAACTAATTGCAAAGCCCATCATTCTTAATTGCTTTTTGTCAACTCCATAATTTTTTACTTAATATTATGAAATTAAGGAAATGTTTAAGTTCTTCAGTAGTGTGCCAAAAAAACTTGGGCTATCTCTGTGCTGGTAAAAAGAGTGTATTTTAAAATATGTCATCTGCCCTGGCCGGTAGCTCAGTTGGTTAGAGCATGGCCCAGTATGCCAAGGTTGTGGGTTCGATCCATGGTCAGGGCACATACAGGAGTCAACCAGCAAATGGGTAAATAAGTGGAACAACAAATCGATGGTTTTCTCCCTCTTTCCCCTTTCCTCTCTCTAAAATCAATGAATAAATTTTTAAAAAATTATGTTTTAAAAATAAAGTAAAAATCCGTTTCCTCTTTCTAGCTTTCATTTCAGACCTAGCTTTTATAAATCTACATTTTTGAAACCTGAACATCTGGTTATAAGAGGGATCTAACATGAACCAGCACTTAATTTGGGGCCTGGGGTTTTTTCTTTAAGATCACAATCGAAGCAATGAAAAGTGACATTGATGAAGTGGCCCTGCAAGGGATAGAATTCTGGTCCAATGTGTGTGACGAGGAGATGGATTTGGCCATTGAGGCTTCTGAGGTGAGCCGGGGAGAGGCAGTTTGGGGCGAGTGCTGTTACTCTGGCTGGGCTCTGGGACACACCTTCTCTGTGGGAGAGCTGTATTCTGACTGGGCTTAGAAAGTGTCTCCGTTTATAGAAATTTTTACCTTTCTGCTAGTCAAAGCCCCTCATGAGGGAGATGGATCAGTAATGTGGCATCTCGTGTTGCTCCCAGTCGGCCACGTGTGGTTCGTTGTGAATATTCATATTAGTACTGTGAACACAAGGGGGCAGCAGGCAGTCGCGGTTCAATGAAGTGACATCTGGTGCTGAATTGCCTTTGGAAAGTCTGTGCGAGTATGGTGTGTGTAATGCAGAGTTTACGTGAAGGAATTAGATGTGGAAAAAGGAGTTAGTCTTGCACTTTCGATCTTTGAATTATAATCTTATTTTTGTCATTCTTAGGGTCTCATAGATGACAGCTTGTTAATGTGAATTGAGCTTATAGGAAAAAAACGTCATTCTTAGGGTTGCCTTGGTCCTTTAAGGTCTAAAAGAATCTCACTGAAATAGATAAAAAAATAAATGCCTTCAAAGATGACAGTGAATGTTACCATGTGCTCCATGTATTTCTGTACAGACCGCTGAGCAGCTCTCATTGTATGCCTTAATATCATAGCTTGTTTGCTGCCGTCCAGAATTTGCATTATGTTTATCCTCAGGCAGCAGAACAAGGACGGCCCCCTGAGCACACCAGCAAGTTTTATGCCAAGGGAGCACTACAGTACCTGGTTCCAATCCTCACACAGACACTAACTAAACAGGTGAGTTACCTTCCAAACCTGGCCCGGTAAGCTATGGAAATTTGTTAAGGGTTGGTTTGCTGCGGGACAGTTTCCATGAAGGAATTCAGAAACTCTTCCACTAGTTGATGCTCTGTACGACAACGCAGGAACAGCTGAGCTGGATCTGTAGGGTCCTCTAGGGCAGGGGTGGGGTGTCTAGCACGGGGGCTGCATGTGGCCAAGGATGGTTATGAGTGTGGCCCAACACAAAATTGTAAATTTATTTAAAAACTTTTTTTTTTTGCTCATCCATTTTTATTAATCTTGTGTATTTGATGTGGGGCTCAAGACAACTCTTGCAGCGTGGCCCACAGACTCCAAAAGGTTGGACAGGCCTGCCTAGGCTCTGAGTTGTTAAAAGGAGAACTTCAGTCTTGATCAAGAATGAGCCACATACTACTCTGACTTCCTGAATGCTGTGTTGTTCAAACTGGGAGGAGAGACTTGAGCTATAAAAGTTGGAGTAAAGCCCTGGCTCGTGTGGCTCAGTTGGCTGAAGTGCTGTCCTGTGCACCCAGGGTCGCCGGTTTGATCCTGGGTCAGGGTGCATCTAGGAGGCGACCAGTGTTGTTTCTTATTTCTTCCGTTGATGTTTCTCTTTAAAAAGTAATGAACATGTCCGCAAATGAGAGTTTTTTAAAAAGTTGCAGTAAAGAAAGGTTGGAGGAAGAGGTGCAAGTAAAAAGGCCACTCACATACTTGTTAAATCTCTGGGATATTTTCATGAGTTCATTGTGTAGATGTGCACTTTCAAAATACTGATGAGGCTGGATAAGAGTTATTCTTTAAAAGTTATCCTAATGATGGGACTCAGCCCATAAAAGAAACCTCTGGTCCTTCATGATTATTAACATTAGTAAGATTCAGGGCAAAATAAAAGTAGTAGGACTTAATGAAGATGTGGATGTAATGAGTGAATACAGAAATTCTTTTATATGAAATGTACCTTGGTTATAATTGTTCCCTTTGGACTCCATGTGTTACAGTTTTTCTTGGTGAGGTGTTTGGAAATAGTCTTGCTGTTACCACGTCTCTTCTGGTGCATGGGAAATGTTACCGGAGAGCTGGCAGTGCTCTGAGGCAGCAGTGCTGTGACTCGGAGCGCTGCAAAACGTCCTTGTACACAAGAATGTAATTTGTTTTTAGGGAAGTACATGACTCTTTCAGTCTCAGAAGATAAGTAGAGATGTATTTGGTTTGAAATGGACTGGGTGTTCCCTTAAAATTTCATCTCATCTTTCCATTTTACAGTTGCTATTTTTTATCTTTTGACCATAGTATCCCTGCTTTGTATATTTTTGGTTCTGCTTTTCTGGTTTGGGAACAAAATCATTCTTCAGGTATGTAATTATCTGAAACTGCATAGGCATTGTGCCTTAAACTATTATGTGTGTGAATGGCCACAATAAGGAAGATAAAACTTGAAACTGTAATTTCATGGGCGCTCCGGATGGAATCTGTTGTTGTTGTTGTTTAATTTCTCATTGAAATACACTTACTAGCACACCAGAATCTCTCCTTATGTCTTCTCCCTAGTCAGTAGTTCCATAGATTAATTTTAATTGATTTTTAATGTACGTAGCTAGAGTCATATGGTGTATAGATTAATTCTCATTGGTTTTTGAATGTATATAACTAGAATCATACAGCATATACAATTTTGTTCAGCCTTTTACTTTGTAAGTCCAAGATCATCCTTTTCATTACATGTGGTTGAAGTTTGTTCATCTCTGTGTGGTACTGAGTGGAGTGGACTCTTCCTTCCCATCTAGATCCTATTTAACAAAGTCTATCGTGATAAACCTTAGTGAAAGAGAATAAAATATAAAGGTTTTGTGTTTTATTTGTATCCCCAAAGCTTATGTTGTAATGATATTTGGGAATAGTCAGAGTACCTTGTGAGTTAAAGTGTTGTGGTATTTTGTTTTGTTTTGTTTTTTAACAAAAATTTAACTTGTGCTATATTCTTTCTCTAGGATGAAAATGATGACGATGACGACTGGAACCCCTGCAAAGCAGCTGGGGTGTGCCTCATGCTTCTGGCCACCTGCTGTGAGGATGACATTGTCCCGCACGTCCTTCCCTTCATTAAAGAACACATCAAGAACCCGGACTGGCGGTACCGCGATGCAGCGGTGATGGCTTTCGGCTGTATCTTGGAAGGACCCGAGCCCAATCAGCTGAAACCACTAGTTATACAGGTGAAGCTGAGGGGGTTTTGGAGTGGAAAGTGAGATATTTATTGTTTGTTTAGAGTGTTTGCTTGAAAGTGTGCTCTTTATTTTAAAAAGAGCTGTAAGTAGTCATCCACAAATGTTATTACTAGGTAGCCATTTACTGTCAGTGAGGGGTAAAATATTTCTTCTACTTATTTTTTTACGAAATACATGACTTTAAAAAAATGCAGAGAAAGCCAAAAAGAAAAAGTCCCCTTGTTGTAACCCCATTGCCCAGAGATAAAGGTCTGTTAGTATTCATCCCTGCAGCCCTTTCCTGTGTGTGGAGGTCGGTCGTACTGGGGAAAACGGTCCTGCATTTGAGTTTGTACAGGTAGGACTCGGCCTTTCCGAGTACAGCCAGATGCTGTCACATCTGCATCCTGGGGTCTCTGCCCAAGTAATTTAGTAAGGACTGCTTTCTGAAAGTTCGTATGAAACCTCTAAAGAAGACTCTGTACTGGACTTTGGTGAAGAGAGAAGGATTTTTTTCACTCTTCACTTTGTTTTTATTATATTGCTGGATATTTGATGAGCATGCCTTTTAAAATGACAAAACCATCTTGATGCTTTGAGTTAAAACCTAACCGTCTGAATTTCCTCGTAGATGTTAGCCACCATGAGTTTTATTCTTTGTTTTACCGCGCTAATGGCTATCGTATTTTCAGGCTATGCCCACCCTCATAGAATTAATGAAAGACCCCAGCGTGGTTGTTCGAGACACAACGGCGTGGACCGTGGGCAGGATTTGCGAGCTGCTCCCTGAGGCTGCCATCAACGATGTCTACCTGAGTCCCCTGCTGCAGTGTCTGATCGAGGGCCTCAGCGCTGAGCCCAGAGTGGCTTCAAATGTCTGCTGGGTAAGGGGTGTTCTTCCTGATGAGATGAGGGTCTTGACCCGGCCACTGGCGAGGAAGTATGAGGTGTGGGAGAGAAATGGGTCTGCCTCACTGGAAGCCTTTTTCTGAATAACATCTCCTTTCTAATCTCATCAGTTAAAATGTGGGGGAGATGTCACCTCCATGAGCCGGTAGGAGCTGTTGACTCATGGTGACTGGTTCCTGAACCATTTAGAACAGTCATGCTAACCCAGTGGGAAAACTATCTGGACTCCGTTTTCTTTCTTCAGTTGCTTAGGGACAAGAAATTTTGATTAAAGTAGAGAGTTTCTGGCTATAAAAAAAAGTACAATTGCCGAGATGGGGGCAAGAGGAAAGGAAGGTAGGCGGTGTTAAGTGCTGAGTCAGTACAGGCTGAATGCGGTTCATTAGGGACGTTTGGGGGTGGGGGAGGAAGTTCAAATAAGGAAGAAGGTGGGGCTAAAAGCCTTTCTGTGATTAGAAATAGAAGTGGCAGGCATTTGTGGTAGGTGAAAGTACTCTGCTGTTTAAAGAGTTTTGGGCAGGATAAACAAAATATAAATTTAAGGATACCTATAAAACATTGTTGTGAGATGACCTTGACAGAAAAAGTTGAGGATTCACCGGCAGCGATTTATTATTAGATCAGTTGGAGAGGAACACTGTCCAAGGTATCTTAAGGAAAAATGAGGTCATCCTGAGGGTGGGGTTCTTTTCAGGACTAGTGTTATTAACCCTCTCTGGCTTTTTAAGGCTTTCTCTAGTCTGGCTGAAGCTGCTTATGAAGCTGCAGACGTAGCTGATGATCAGGAAGAACCAGCTACCTATTGCTTGTCGTCTTCTTTTGAACTCATTGTTCAGAAGCTGCTGGAGACCACAGATAGGTAGGTAACTTCATTCTAGCTCTTTGCATTCAACTCCTGCCTTCTGTGTTGCGGGGAGGGGGAGGCTAATCATAGAAGCATTGCAGTAGAAGATTATTTGTTTAAATAAGAGGAAAAAATGTAGACAAGAATTGTCCAGGTTACAATTAAACTCAGAAAATAGTCTCCTTTCTGTACTTAGAGAGCAGTAGTTGATCTACAGTGGTGCCTTTGCTTCGCAGTGCCTACAGTCACCAAGTGTTTGATCATGGAATAGGAGAGAGAATAGCTCTTACGAGTTTAGTTGCCACACGAGATCATTAATTGCCATTTTTTATATTAGATGAAGAACTTGGCATTAAATGCAGTTGTTTTGTAAATGAGCTTTGAGATATAGTTTTATAGGCTTATGAGTTGGGAACAGCCTTGAATTATTTTGGTTTTGTGTGAGCTGTACTTAATGAACTCAAAAGAAAACATCAAGGAAGAGGACTGTGTGTAAATTCTTCCAGGCTTACCTAGTTCACTTCTACTTCTCTGTTCAAGATAAAGGCATCTCTCACAGGTGAATGAAGAAAATTAACTACTCAGGCACCTCTTCAGTTCTCTACATAGGTCTTTCATCATTTTAACCTCTAACTTTCCCCTATAATTTTAGCCCATTTCCAAAATGGTCATTCTAAAGTTTAACCAGGTCTGGAGACCATAATGAACATAGCCATTGGCTCAAAGGTTGAAATTTTAATTCTGGTTGTATGGAGTTGCCAAACTCAAATCAGGTCTGCCATCATATGTTTCAGGGGTTCTTTTTTCTGTTGTGACAGTGTCTGCATTATAATAACTTTTCTTTCTGAGTTGGGAATTTGAGGTTTTTGCTATTTCCTTACAGACCTGATGGACACCAGAACAACCTGAGGAGTTCTGCATATGAATCTCTGATGGAAATTGTGAAAAACAGTGCCAAGGACTGTTACCCTGCAGTTCAGAAAACGACTCTAGTCATCATGGAGCGGCTTCAGCAAGTGCTGCAGATGGAGGTGAGACTTAGGGCATTCCTGGTGGTTGGCGGGGAGGGTGCGGAACTCGGAGCAGATGGCTGTATTTTCAAGGCCGTTCTCCCTATTTGATGTTTAAGTAATTGTTTTCTCAGAAAGATAGAAGGCTTATGCAAAAAAAACGGTCATAACTTAAAGTTTGCATTGCTCGTCACAGTTTCCTCATACGTGTGTTAAGTTTTGTTTACTTTCCTAAGTTAGCATCAGTAAAACTTACTTAATGGTCCTGGCAAACCCAGCAAAAATGGAAGCTTTGAGGGAATTTAGAGCCCCTTTAAAAGGTATTTATTCAGAATATGATGATTTTTTTTCTCGTAGTCACATATCCAGAGCACGTCGGATAGGATCCAGTTCAATGACCTTCAGTCATTACTCTGCGCTACTCTGCAGGTACGGTGGTGCCGTGTTGCCTTATGGCTCCGGGGCGGGGGTGGCGAGTGGACGTGCATGCAGAGCTCTGGGGTGGTGCTCATTAAAAGCTCTGATCAAAAGGCCTCGGTCTGTAATTGATTAGGAGGATAATTTTTCATTTTCCCTTGTCCATAAAGATGAAATTTGCTTTTTGCACAGTATAGGGAAGGAAACTAATCAGTTGGTGATGGTCCTCTCTTCTGTACATTGTGTTTGTGTGTGTTTGAATTTTTGTGAATTTATTTGAGTTACACAGGATACACCTGCAAGCAAGATCTTAGCAGGCTGATAAGACTGCTTCTTTACAACTGTTCTGTGTTGGGGCAGCTTTCAGTCTTGGATTTCATTGGGCTGTCCAGGTGTGATTTGATTTCTAGCCATAGTTCACCCAACTGAAAATAAAGCCTTGAGTTTCTACCATCATCTTTTGAAACAGTAGTTATTGGGAACTTTGTTATAATTTATGTCATTTGTAGTTCCTAGTGTTCCTAGACTTTCTGAGAGGCTGAGGTAATTTAAAATTATAATTTGTAATTTATTTGAAATTACATGTCACTTCTCAGGCGTGACTGGAGTCATGCAGTGGCTAGGGAAGGTATTCCTTTCTCTTCTTTCGTTCCAAAGAACAGGAAAATCCTGTGACTTGTCTGATGCTTAAGTAGGTACTAGGTTTAGTATTGAGTGATGTTTACTAGGTAACCTTACCTGTGAAATCCCCTTTTTCTTACTCCAAACTTAATGTTTTTTTAAGATTTTATTTATTTATTTTTAGGCAGGGAGAGAAACATCAGTGTGTTGTTGCCTCTCATGTAATATTCCCCCCCCCGCAACTGGAGACCTGGCCCATGACCCAGGCATGTGCCCTGGCTGGGGATTGAACCAGTGACTCTTGGGTTTGTAGGCTGGTGGCACTCAATCCAATGAGCCACACGAGCCAGGGCCAAACTTTAATTTTTTAAAGTATGGCTGTTAAGGGGTGTTTCCTTATTCATCAGACAAATATGGGAATGATCCAGTAATGTTAGCTGAAACAAATTAAAGGGTAAGGAGGGAAGTTTGAGGAAGATTCAATTAGAAAAAGCCAGGTTGACTTCATTTTATCACTTCTATTTCTTGATCATTATCTGTAAATGAGTTAGGATATAGGAAGGGTTGGTTTTTGTTTGCTTGTTTTGTGAGTACGAACTCTAATATGGCACGTCCTTTAAAGCTGAAATGGAAAGACTGGAATATGGAGGCTGCTGATGGGTTTTTGTCAGGTGATTGAAGTGTAGAAGAGATGCTTTTATGCCTGTGGGAAATCATCTCATGTTTGTTCTGAGTTGGGGAATAGAAGGGATATTAGAATGTATGTTGCAAATGATTTTGCACTGTCAAAACATTTGAGCATAAAAGGTATACTTGGCCTTTTCAAGAAAAAAAAAAACAAATTTCAAGGGACTTAACTGATTTTAAAAAGATACAGTGTTTTGATTGGAGTGTTTGTAATCAACAGATCCTGAATTCTTATTCATTTCACAGAATGTTCTACGGAAAGTGCAACACCAAGATGCTTTGCAGATCTCTGATGTCGTCATGGCCTCCCTGTTAAGGATGTTCCAAAGCACGGCTGGGTCTGGGGGAGTTCAGGAGGATGCCCTGATGGCAGTTAGCACACTGGTGGAAGGTGAGTGAGCTGAAATTGGGCAGGGAATTCAAATGCAGGAGTTAAAATGGCCATGAAGAACTTCTGACTACAAAAAGCATAGTTCTGTTTTCTCATTTATGGAGCATTGAGTTGGTTCAAAGTTGAACCAACAGTAGTGACAGTAGTTTGTGCATGACTGCCTTGCCACTCACTCTCCTTGAAGTAAATAGGGAGCCAGTTCGCAGCTCAGATTGGCAATCTTTGGAGGTGCTGTATCGTCTTCCTCATGTTTATCAGGTTTCTTTTTTCAAGGATGGAGGAAGCAAAGGTTTTATTTCTTTCCTGGTACTTGGTACCTCCTGGTTTGGCTTGTAATGTTTTGGCCTTGGGTTGACACATCATAGTGCCCGGTGTGGAAGGGAATGAAACATTGAGCGAGTTCTAGGAATTTGTGGTGGTTACATGTCTGACGATGCAGAATTGCTTTGGGAAAGCCATGTCTGACTTAGAGAGTGGGAGGAGCCCTTCAGAAACCTGGAATGCTGCTTCAGGGGTGGCCCGTAAGGCGTATCACTAAAGCCATTACTGAGAACCTCCTTGCAAACCGGACATTTCTAGCTTCAAGAGTATGTGTCCAACTGGTCTCACATCATGTGACCACCCTGACAGAGCACAGCAGTTCATTTTGGCTTCTGGCATGGCTGATTTGGATATGAAGCCCAGTCTGCTTTTTCTGGCTGGCTTAAATAAGTCTTTGATGGACTTGCCTAGGGGCCCAGTTTTAAGCTGGCTTCCAAAGAGGACATATTACAGTAAGATGAAGAGGTAGACAAGAGGCAGTGTTGCTAGCTCAGCCAGTTAACCTTGACATTCTTTGAGAGCCACACCACTTGGTGGTTGAGCCAGAGTGAAATCCTACTCCTGGTGTTGTCTCCAGGGCCTAATAGGCGCTTCCAGGAGTTACGGATTCGGTTTGATTAAAGCAAACCTTAATGTCTTCCTGAAAGGATCTGTAGTTACCTCAGGTTCCACCAAACTGTTGAGTGATGTGAACATATTTTGGGAGAGCTCAGATGGTCATTTTTGCTCACTTCTGTGATACCTGTGGTGGTAATAGTTTGTTTCCTTACAGTGTTGGGTGGTGAATTCCTAAAGTACATGGAGGCCTTTAAACCCTTCCTGGGCATTGGATTGAAAAACTATGCTGAGTACCAGGTACGCTCTACAAAAATACAGTTGACCACTGAACTTTCTGGGCCACTTGTATGTGGGTTTTTTTTTCCCCTAACAAATAAATACATTGGAAAATTTTTTGTAGATTAACAACAGTTTGAAAAAAATTCACATACATGGACCTTATAGCCAAGAAATATTGAAAAATTAAGAGAAAATTTGTTGTGTCGTGAATGTATAAAATATATGTAGACACTAGTTTACCATTTATTGTAAAGTTACTTAACTATATTATACAAAGTTAAGATTTATTAAAACTTAGCAGACACAGATCGTGCATGGGGCCAGTCCCGGTCCAGAGAAAGGTGCACAGATGTGAAGATGCAGTCAAGTTGTAGCTGCGGAGCTGACCACAGCACACGCCGTGGCACTGCGATAATTCCATAGCCACCGGTTGCCCTCGTGCTGTGCTCATTTATTTTTTTCCACCTCACGGTCATTGTGGTACAGACTGTCCTGTAGTGTAGGTAGTTCTTCCCTGGGTGTTAGCCCAAGTGTTGGCTATTTCGTTTGTTCTCAGTGTCTGAAGTAAAAGTAGCCGGTGAGAAACAGGGTGTTAGATGCATCCAAACAGAGTAGCCTCCTAATAGCAAAGCTTTTTTCTTTTAAACCATGTGCCTCAGCTATTACTGTCCCTGGTGAATATTGTCTTTTCATAATGATGTCTCTCATAGTCTTAGTTCTCTCCCTACCATATTGTTTGTCGAAATGAACAAATCTTAGGACTGATGTTTTTTTCTTGGACTCCAGGTTCAAATGATAAAGGATCAGCAGCTAGATAAAAATAATGCCTTACTCCTCCCTGCAGGCAGCCTTTTCTGTTTGATAGGTCATTTCCTTGCCTCTTTGCAGGTGTGTTTGGCAGCTGTGGGCTTAGTGGGAGACTTATGTCGTGCCCTGCAGTCCAACATCTTACCTTTCTGTGATGAGGTGATGCAGCTCCTGCTGGAGAACTTGGGGGTGAGTGCCTGCATGCACACACACGTCTGACTTACCAGTGTTTGAAGAACTCGTTAGTTGGAAACGTGACAGGGAGCTTTAATTTCCCATATTGGCTGTGGGCTTATGAAGAAGGGAATTGTTCATTTTCACAAGATGATTTTAAAGTAAGATTATAAAGTTAAAGGAGTGCATGCCCAGTGCATGGCACTTAGGAAAGAAAACCAGTAAAATGCCAAGGAAAATAAATAATAATCCTTTTATCTAAAGATAACCACTGTTAATGTGTGTGTATGTCTTTAAGGTCTAGACCCAGCATATTACTAGTTGCTAATTATTTAAAATAAAAAGAAGAAGAAAGAAAAAAGTTTGAGTCTTTGGACAGAACAAATTGTGTCTTTCAATAATTTCCTTTTCCTGTTTTTATCCTTGTCAGAATGAGAATGTCCACAGGTCTGTGAAGCCACAGATTCTGTCAGTGTTTGGTGATATTGCCCTTGCTATTGGTGGAGAGTTTAAAAAATACCTAGAGGTTGTATTGAATACTCTTCAGCAAGCTTCCCAAGCCCAAGTGGACAAGGTAAGCTTACATCTATCTTTTAGGCCTGATTAGAAGAGAGAAACTTTGACTAACATAGAATAGTAATGATCAGTATGACGGAGGTTGTTTTCTTTGTCTCTTACAGTCAGACTATGACATGGTGGATTATCTGAATGAGCTAAGGGAAGGCTGCTTGGAAGCCTATACCGGAATTGTCCAGGGATTAAAGGGAGACCAGGAGAACGTACACCGTTGAGTATACAACCAAACTTAATTTAGTTCAGTGTGTGCTTAGCCAAAGGGGCTGTGTTTTCATTCTGTAGCTTGTAAACTAGCATCTACCTATTGCTTAAAGAAGAGGAGAAAGGAACAGTGCCCTAATGAAGAAAGTGTAACTTTGGGGAAGGGTATACATTTTATTTATTTCTGCGTCCCCTTCCTTTGCTACTTTGTCTCACGTTTCTGGAGCATTGCAAGGGGTGGGATACAGCAAGGCTATTGGTGCTGGCTGCATCTGCAGCAGTGGGGGGTGGCAGTTTTCACTCAGTGAACTCAGTGAACTCTGACCCCGCCTGAATTGGGGGTCAGATTTCTTCTATCGCCTGATGTTTTTGTATTGATTGGGGAGATGTTTGTCCTTTGCCTGCTTGGTATCATGGGCCTTGCGGAATGGTTCTATTTGTTCCTTCTGCCTTATATCAATTTAAAACAAGAAAATCTGCCTCTTCTGTTGACTTGAGGAATGACATCTTACTCTGAGAAAGAATAATTTGGTGTAATTATATGCAACTATTTTGCAGCCTGATACCTGCCTGATAGGGTTAGAGTATTTGGAAATCTTGAAATGGAATGTAGTCCTGCCAGATGTGGGACAAGTTCATCAGACCTTCTCTTTCTTTTATAGCGGATGTGATGCTGGTACAACCCAGAGTAGAGTTTATTCTGTCTTTCATCGACCACATTGCTGGAGATGAGGATCATACAGACGGAGTAGTAGCTTGTGCTGCTGGACTGATAGGGTAGGTGACACCTGAGCAGAACTTCTGGTGCAGAGTTAGAGGGCGTGTAGAAAAAACATTTGAGAGTCCATTGGATGGTGATTATCTACTTTGGTACAGAGGAGATTTGTTTAATAGAACCCATGGTGTCCTGTTTTGAGTTCTCACAAATGATAATTCATTTAAGACGATAACTGTAGCTTCATTCCAGACCCTCTGAATTTCTAATTTCTCCCCAGTAAGCTTATTTTAAAAACGTATTTTATTTTTTACCAATACAAAAGTTAATTTCACGAAAGTTCAGTGTGAACATTGTAGTAAAATAGGTGCCATAGAGAGGGGACATGGGGAAGCAGTTGATTTCCCTGGTGAACACAGCCGTTCTTTGTACTCACTCCAAGGCTTTTAACATGATGGTACTATTTCCTTGTATTATCTGCTATTTCACTATTGTTCTGTTGTCCACTAGTTGCCATCTCCACACATTCATCTGTCACAAGATTCTTAAAGGGATCAAATCCCTGCAAATTCCTGGGACATGTCTGCCACCATTAATTTCAACAATAACTTCTTGTCCATAAATTTTCTAAGTCGGGAAGGTGAGCTTTGCTCAAATACTCAGTGACCTCAGATACCTTCAAATGGAATTCGTGGCCTCTCTCCCACTCCCACAGTAGGCCCTGCGTTTTGCCCCCCACTAAATTAGGCAGTGAACTCTTAGGTGTAGAAGCCACATAATACCTATGTCTGTGCCATATTCTGATGTCGGACAGCCGATTGCCTTTGTAGCTTCTGTTGAGGGTTTCTCAGATGTCATATGAAGAAACGTTGGTCCTCAGGGGCTCAAAGACTTGGGTTCTAGTCTGATTTTATCGTGAATTAGCTGTGGAATGACTGGGGTAAGTCATTCTACCTCTTCAGGCCTCACTTTTTCATCTGTTGAGGGCAGATGTTAGACTTTCTTTTCTTTCTTGCTTTTTTTTTTTTTTTTAAGATTTATTTATTTATTTTTAGAAAGAAGGTAAGGCAGGGAGAAATGGAGAGAAACATTGACCAGTTGCCTCTCACATGCCCCCAACTGGGGACCCGGCCCTCAACCCAGGCATGTGTCCTGACTGGGAATCAAACTGGAGACCTTTGGGTTTGTAGGCCAGTACTCAGTCCACTGAGCCACATCAGCCAGGGCAGACTTCATTATTTATAAGATTTTTTTCACTACACAATGCAGTGTCTTTAAAACATATCATTCATGTATTTAATTTCCACTCTGCCCCCCCAGCTGGAAAAGGTGCTGTACCATATTGAGTGACTAAACCAATAAAGCTCTCCAGGTATAAGGATCTAACGAGAGAGATCACAAGGCACCAGCTGTGCAGCAGACAGGATAGGCAGAGGCCCCAGAAAAGACTTACTCAAGATGATACAATTGAAAGGATTTGTAATGGGTTTCAGTGCATTAAGAAATTTCTACAACTGAAGAGTAGTCGGAGATTATAGCACAAAGAAATTTTAGTGCAGACACACTTGTATATAGACCAACAGTTTTTAACTTCAGGCGAGATAAATCTTAAAAGTTAAAATTTTTCTTTCAGTATTAAAAAAATAGGTGATTGAGGAAGAAGCGCACAGCTAGCTTAGCACTGGTTTGAGAGGCTCATACCACTGGTATCAGGCCAGGAGCTCATTTTCAGGTGTGTTTATTCTGCACAGGGACTTATGTACAGCATTTGGGAAGGATGTACTGAAATTAGTAGAAGCTAGGCCAATGATCCATGAACTGTTAACTGAAGGACGGAGATCGAAGACTAACAAAGCAAAAACGCTTGCTACGTGGGCAACAAAAGAACTGAGGAAACTGAAGAATCAAGCTTGGTAAGAGCTTGTCTTTACTATCTTCTTTGTGCTGCGTTCTTGGGGGGGGAGTGTTTTACTTAGACTGTTCTGCCAAGGCGGCCTTTCATTTGGTCTTTTGTTTTGTACTCTTGCGCATTTAAGTGCTTGTGAGCCAGGCCTTTGTTCCTAAGCTTTGTTAGTGGGAGGGTCAAGCAACCTCAGTCCTTCCTTGAGCCAACTACTTGATTCCTTGTCGTGATGAAGAACAGAACTTACATAATTAGAACTCACTGAAGTCCCCACATTTTGGGGGCCCTAATAAAATTGATAATGGCATTTTCTCATCATTCTCTTTTCTACTCTATTCCCCTCCCCATGCCCTTTTCTTTATTCTTCCCTCTCTTTCTGCCTTTCTTTCGTTTTATTTATTCTTAGAGGGGAGGGGCAGAGAAAGAAAGGGAGAGAAACGCCATTTGGTTGCCTCACACGCGCCCTGAATGGGGCCGGCCCACAACCCACAGGTGTACCCTGACCAGGAATCAAAACTTTTGCTTTGCAGGGCAATGCTCAACCGATTTTTCTTTACTTGACTGCAGTGCCTTTAGACATTGCTGTAGAAGACAGCCCAAGTCAGAGTTGTCTGACCCCTGCCTGCAATGTAGTTTCAATTTATTTTCCTCTCACGTATTCATTTATTTCACAAATCTCAGTAAAAATGGCTATTTTGAGTTTCTGCTTTCCCTCCTACCCTCTGATGTAGGTGCTAATGAGAACAGGTAGAAGGCATATAGGAAGAGAAGAAAAATAATCAGTTTTTGAAAAGTTGATACATTCCATTCAGGCCTCTGAGTACTTAATTGTAGGAATCAGAGAGATGTTTGGCTGTACTGGGTGTTTGTGATCTCAGAGATTGACCTTTTTTCCATCTGTTTCTAGATCTGTTACCATTGGGATGATAACCTGAGACCCCCACTGGAAATCTCCAATCTTTTGAAAAACCCGGAAGTGAGGAGTGTGCACGGATGCTGAATGTTTGGGAATGAGAGGATGAGTGAGTGAGGCTTGAAAACACACCACATTGAAAATCCTGCCACAGCAGCAGCCGCAGCCGCAGCCGCCAACAGCAACGCTGTTAGTGAGCTAAGTAAGCACTGACTTCGTAGAGAACCATAACGTCGGCCATCTTGGAAGAGAAAAAAAAACGATGGATTTACTTGCTTAAAAGAAAGAAAGTTATCTCTTCCCGGCAGAGGCTAGAACTAGCTTTTCTGTCTTGGCCAGTGTTGAGTGGAATGACCAGTTCGGGAGAGGAAGAGGGACTGGGTTCAGCTGTGGTGCTTTGTTGTAAAAGGCAGCTTGGCCTTTGCTACTGATAAGAAAGATGGAGCCTGGGTCTTGAGCCCACCTTTGGTGTACCTTGCCACACGGTACTGTATACGTGCCGGCTAAAAGGAGGGTGAGGGATTCTTTACAGTCTGAGAATGAGTGTGTGTGAGTGAGGCGGTATCCACATTCTCAACTTCGTCATTGCAGTTTCTTTTTCCCAGAAAAAAGGGGTTAGACATTGCATTTCATAAAACTAACCGAAGTTCTGTCTACTGATGCAGCACAAGAGATGTAAAAAAAAAAAAAGAAAAAAGAAAAAAAAGGGAAAGACGCTCTTTAGGTTTGTGCTTTTTTTTTTTCTTTTTTTTTTAAATTCTAGGGAAAACACTGACGAATGTTCAGAGCTCCCATCCTGATCTTTTCATCAAGGCGCCTTTCCTAATAATATGGTTCAACTGTGAATGTAGAATTGGGGGGGAGGGGGGAAGAAAAAGGAAACTCTGGAGTTAGAAGATATAGAAAAAAATAAAAAACACAATTGTTTCAAATAAAGAATGCAGACTTGAAAAGTAAAAGAAAGCCACAACCCAAACAAACCAAACGTTAAACGCTCAGATTGGCAGCACAAAGGGAAAGCTCTCTCTGACATGTATCAAGGCAGCCTGAACGCCCCCAGAAAACTGTGCCAAAGAGGTTAGGAAATAAATCCACAATAAAGTAAATACACACTTACAGTAAACTTCAGGTAACTATTTTGGATTGCGAACAAGGATAAATTTAATGTTCAAACAATCTGATAAAATAACCATTTGGAAACTGCTTGGCCTTCTGTTCTCTTATTTGATTGACTGCAATGCGGTATTGGTCTCTTGCTGCACTTCAAAACCAACTAACCAACAACAACGAAAAAAGAATATATATAGAGAGAGACTAGAACTCTTGTGATGAAAGTGGCACTTGAAAAAGGTTATATTTTTCCACTGAAGTTGAAGATTAATAAAATGGTGTCAAACATTCCCCTGGTCACACGCTTTAATATTTTTTTAAAAGTGTGATGTGCTGTGATAACCATAAATCAGACTTAATTATTTTCCCTTTTACACGGGGAACAGGGCACCCTGAATTTGGGTTTTAGACTCTCAGCAATAAGGGATGTTGGTGAGCTTTGATCCTCTTTGGTTTTGCAGTTATTAGGAATTTTTGCTGGCATTTTGAATATGCTGCTTTCAAAAACAACCAAGGACGATTTTTTTTAAATGCTTCCTAGTATTTGGAGGATTAAAAAAACAAGACCTTAAATTCCCACTTTTGTTTTCATTCTAGCAAAAAAATAGGGGCTTGTGTATTTTCTCTGCCGTTTTTTCCCTTCCCTATCCAAGCCTTGCATTCATACGTGGGCTTGGCTCAGTTTTGCCCATCCATATGGCAGCATCTCTAATAGCTCTTGTACAGGGTATCAGATATTGTGCCTTTTGGTGCCAGGTTCAAAGTCAAGTGCCGATCTATGAACCAGTGTACAAAAAAAAAAAAAAAAAAAACCAGGTGTTTGAAGGAGAGGCACTCTTGTGAATAGAGTGCACCAGCTCTTAAGCCCTACTTAGAAGAGACCTGGCCCGCTAATGCCTTGTTTAAATTTTAGTTGTTCCTCAAGGGAAAGGATGATGATACACTAACCATTCCTGATAGATAGGGTTTGGTCAGGGCTTAGGGATGGGGCAGGAATATGGGGGAGAAAAAAATGATCATTCCTCAGTGCTACCCATTTGTCCTGTGTGGGCTGCTTAGCTAGACAGCAGGAGAATAAAGTACACCAAGAACCATAATGGAAACAAAACCTTCCGTGTGTTTTGTCATGTTTTGTTCCAGGGAAGCAGTTGATAAGTGCTGTTGTTAATGCTTTCTCCCAGATCCACTCAGTGATGGAGAGGAGGAAAATTGGCTGGTTGGATTGTGGTCTTGGTGCCTCGCAGTTATTCTGCACTGGTTATGCATTTAATCTTTACTAGTAGAGTTACCTTTGGCTAGTGGGTTTTCCATAGCCTGGGTATTTATCCTTAATCGATTGTACCACCTAAGGCAACTGGATGCGAAATGCATTCTGTCCATTCTGTCTGGGCCTTCCCCACCCTAGTCTTGGCACATTCCTTCAAGAATGTAGTTACCGTCTGCTTGGGAAGATGTCAATGCAAACGTGAAGAAAATGGGCATCGGACTAGGCTTTGGTTTGCCACAAGTGGCAGCTGCCTGTATCAATTACAATTACATTTATTAATTTTGCTTTTCATTTTTCCAAGTTCCCCTCAGCTCCCCTGTTGACCTGTTGGCTGTCTAAAGGCAACTGTTACATTGCCTTAGGGACTTGTGGAGAAAGGGAGGGGAATTGCTCAGTGTAGTGTTTTCACTTTCAAAACCAAGTAATCTAGTCACTCATATTAAGGAAGTGTGTTAGTCTGACTTTAAGAGAAATCCAAACTCCATCAGCTTTTGATAGCATCTTGGTTTTCGAAACAACTCAATCTGTAATTGGCATTTAGAATGCCCTTGGCATGCCAGTCTGTGATGGCATTAAAGACCTGTTAAAACACTTGAGCCCAACTTTATTAACCAAAACTGATACCACCACCTTTATCTTCTAAATAAAGTCCGCTTTATTTTTATTTTGAACATTTTGCTGCTTCATTTTTGGTTCCAGATGGTGTCACCTCCTTGGAGGTGAAATGAATGGTTTGAAAGAAGCCAGAGCGTGTGGTGGTGACGTGTGTGTGAATTGGGGACAGGAAGGACAGACACACCTGTCTTAGAAATGGACCGGACATAATGTAGTGAGGAATGGACATCCCCTTCCAGTGAGGTTGTGCACGAGCACGCCCTGAAGGAGGTTTCCTGTTCGGAGTGATTGTGAAGCTGCTAACGGTTGTCCTCTGTCTTGTGCGTATTTTTCAGGTTAACGATCTGGGCTACTTAAAGGCTTGTCCAAAGGTTGGCTTTTCACTTAGTTTGCAGCATGTATTCAATTTCTACTTCCACTTTTGCCCCCAGAAACTTGCAGAGAAAAGAACACTAACTTGTGATTTAAGGAACCGGTCAGTCCTTTTGCCCTCCTGCTTATTAGCATAGCGGCGCCTACAGGCTACTTCATGGAAAGACGTTCTTTCTTAGTTTATGTTGGGCAGATAAAATGAGGGCTAACCTTTCTCCTACCTTCGCCTCCATGTGGCCTTTTACCTTTTCTGAATGGACACCCCTGTCATTAGGAAGTTCCGATCATACCTACCCCCAAGTGTTTATGAATTATGTACCTGTACTGCTGTGCCCGTATATTGTGTAATCATGAGACATAAAAATAGAATTAAAAAGCAATTATCTGAAAAGTAAATATAAACAAGTTCTAATATTTTATGTCTATGCCCAATTTTGGATGACTAGGTTATAGAGGGCAACGTGATTCTTAGCAGACAGCATTCAACCCTGAGTGGTGGTCACCGACCGAGGACATTTCTCCAGCAAGGGTGTGCTTAGAGAAACAGGTGGCATCGGTCCATTCCTGACTGGCAGGGAAGGATTGCTCCCCGCCCCCCCGCCCCCCCCCCCGTTTTTTTTTTCCTTTTCAACAGTTCTCCAGGTAACTCCCCGTTCCCATATACCCCTCTCCAGTAAACACCCAAAAGGAACGCAGAACGAAGTGACAGTCCCACCTGGCCGAAGCAAGGCTTCCAGCCTGACGTGGAAAAGAGCAAATGTTGGGAAGGGTTTGTATGTTCTGTTACATCTTACCCTGGACAACAAGTCTTACTCTGTTGAGGAAGGAGGGGCAGAAAGATTGATTCACCAGACCAGGGTCACATGGAGCCCAAATTCAACTTCAGACCCAACAGAGAGCAGAATCCAAGCTTTCCTCACATTTGCCCCAGACAGACGCTGTCAGCTTCTTAGCAGTATAAATTCAAGGTCCATGTTCTACAGATTCATAGTATGCATCTATCTCCTTCACAGGACTATCTAAACATATATTTTAAATTTGCTTATTTTTTGCCAGTTTTCTCAACTGTAATGTAAGCTCTTCAGCGCAGTGACCTTGGGCTGTCTTACTGACCACTGTATCCCCAGACTGGATCAGCACCTGAAGTGTAGGAGACCTTCAATAAATATCTGTTGAACTAATGACATGTCAGTACAGTTCAGGGAGTTTCTGGAATGGCATGGCTTAGCCTTTGAAGGGCAGAGCATCCAGAAACCTGGGAATAGCAGGGCCTCAGAAGACTTCAGCTCTTCGGCTTCTCATTTGCTGGATGTCGCCAGGCCGGCCTCGATGGTTTTTGTTTTTTGTTTTGAGACAGGAAGGGAGAGAGAGAAACATCGGTGTGTTGTTCCATGTGTTCGTGTATTTGTTGGTTGATTCTTGCATGTGCCCTGATGGGGGGTGTGTTCGGACAATGCTATAACCAACCGAGGTACCCGGCCAGGGCCAGGCCAGTCTCCTAACTTTGGGTTAACTGGAGGGATGGGAACAGGATTAGTCAATAGTCATTATGTTGTGTCCATTTTATGCAGATGCCAGGCTTGTAATAAGCATTATAGGTAGAGTAATAAAAATGATCCTCATCGACACTGGAAGAAAAGCATCATTTTAGTCTTATTTTACAGAGAGAGAGGCAAGCACAGAGAGGTTCAGCACCATGCCCAAAGTCACGTGGGCTAGGCAAGCAGCACTGACTCCACAGGCCGTGCGTGTTCTACTGGACCGTCACATCGCTGCGTGGTAGGAGGAGCAGATGGGTCTCTGCTCCCAACAAGTTTCGTTTGTGGGGAAACAGAGCCCTGGATGAAGTGTTTTTGAAGTTAAATAGTTAAGCGATTTTGTCTTAATTCATCATGAAGTCCATTGTTAACCTTTTGGCAACTGTCAAACTCTTCATTCGGGGATGAAGTTGGTTTTCCTCCCAATTAGGGTTTGAACCATCTCCCTGAACTTTTTGTTTAAAGGTTTTATTCATTTTTAGAGAAGGGAAGGGAGGGGGAAAGAGGAGAGAAACATCAATCGGTTGCCTGTCCCACACCCCCAACCAGGGGACCTGACCCACAACCCAAGCGTGTGCCCTGACCTAGAATCAAACTGGTGACCTTTCAGCACGACACGCAACCCCCTGAGCTACACCAGTCATGGTCATCTCCCTGCACGTCTGCTCCCTTTTCCCTCCGAGCTAGAAGCTTTTGGGGACCAGGACTGGGGGCAGGGTGGATGTTGGCACCTGGTGGCCACCGGGCTGCTGAGTAAGCGCCCCATCTGACCACCCCAGTGCTGTCAGCTTGTCCGGGGCATGAGACCTTTGAAGCCTGAGCTGTTCCCTCTCCCAGGGGCTCCTAGGCCCTAAGTTCTTGAGCTGGGCTCTCTCCTCAACGTGAAATGTACCTTATTTTCTGAGAGGGAAGTACATCTTCGTGTCAGCACCTGCCTGAGCTCTCGATGCAGAGGGCACCCTGTCACCGTCCTGAGGGAAAGAGAACCAAGAAGTGGCTCTGGCCCTGCCTCAGTGGCTCAGCTGGAGCATCCTCCTGTACCCCAAAAGGTGGTGGGTTCGATTCCCAGTCAGGGTGCATACCTAGGTTGTGGGTTCGATCCCTGGTATGGGAGGCAACCCATCAATGTTTCTTTTTCACTCTCTTAATAAAATCAATAAATATATCCTCAGGTAAGGATTTAAAAAAAAATGGCTCCGTATAAGCTTTCTATAGCAATAAGCAATGTTTGCTGTTTTCTGAGCTCTGCCCTTCAAAATATTGTATAGTCTTTTGAGTATGACCTTGGGCAAATTCTTCAACTTTTCTGATCTTCAGTTTTTTTCATCTGTAAAGTAGGAATCTCAATGGAAGAAAATGCACATGAAGTCTTTAGCACAGGGTCTTGCACATGCATTAATTAAATGAATTGATCAAGAAATTCTGAGTACGTGCCCGACACTGTTTAAGGCATTAGAGAATGAAGCAAATAAAATCTGCATCCTATGGAGGTCACATTGTAATGGACAATGCCTTGTAACTGTTCAAAATTGTAGTACTATAATGATTGTAACTTTTTCAAAGTTCTGTTTGGTGGTAGCAGGAATGAACACGGTTGTGAAGAACATGAAGCATAGTTATTAAAACAGTTTCCACCCAAACCTGGCTAATTTGATTAGAGGATGTGCTACTTCCAAAGGGATCTGGTAAAGAAGGAAAGGTTTTTCTACCACTGCCCAAACCTCTGCTTTGAGGGAAGACCAGCAGGCTGCAGGTGGAGCCCCAGAATGGTTCTGCAGTGAGCCCCGATCTTCTAAGGTCTGGAGCTGGGGGAATAAGGTGGCCCCTGGATCCTGCATTATCACACATTCTAATCAATTTTCCTGCCGGCCTGGTTCTGTTTGAGTCATCTGAGTTTTATGTTGATTCCATTTCTTTGCCTGCTGCTAACAAACATCATCTCCTCCTACTCTTTTCAGGCGAGAACAGGACTGGAAAGACAAAGTCCTTCTCCAGAGCAAAAGACCTGGAGTGGGAGACAGTCTCTCCTGATGGTTCCCAAGGGGGAATCACGCAGGAGCCACTCAGCCCTGCTTTTGCGTTGCCTCTCCTCCCAGTAACTAGTGGGAGCGGGCCCGCTCTCACCGTGGTGCCAATGCCATCTAGAAGTGTTTGCAACCCCTGCCTGACCAGCTGTCTGCCACCTTCCCTCTTCTCCTCCCATCTTAGCTCCTACGTCACCTCCCCTCGACCATGCCCCTGGTTTTTCCCATGTTCTGCCTCTACCATGATGAGCCCTGATAGCATCATGGGTTCTTCGAACTTCCAACCAGTCTCCAGCTCTCTCAGATGAGGACACAGGTCAAGAGGGGGGGAAATAATGAATCCAAAGTCATGTTACTTCATTTATTCACTCAACCAAGAACACTCCCTACCCTTTAAGATTCAGCTTAGCCCTGGCTGGGGTGGCTCAGCTGGTTGGAACATCGTCCTGTACACCAAAAGGTTGGGGGTTCCGTTCCTGGTCAGGGCCCATGCCTAGCTTGGGGGTTAGATCCCTGGTCAGGGCGCACGTGGGAGGCAACCAGTTAATGTTTCTCTCTCACATTGATGTTTCTCTCTACCCCCTCTCTAAAATCAATAACCATACGTTTTTTTAAAAAAAGGTTTAGCTTAAATGTCACCTCATTAGAGAAATCTGCTCTGATTACTTGAAAGCATAGCCCACCCCCATTCTCTATTTTGTTCCCTTGTTTCTTTTTACTCTTTATCACAATTAGTAATTGTTTCATTTTTTAATCTTTTTGTTGTTGTTGTTGTTTTTGGCCTGACTCTATAGAGTATTAGCTCCGTCAGGGCAAGAGAGACATGTTTGTTCTTCAGAGATAGGCTCATAGCGGTGTTCTCAGATCCAGCACATTAACAGATGTTCAAGAAATCTTTGCTGAATTAATTAATGCATGTGAGCAAGTGGCATCAAGGCACCTGGGGACAGGAAAGTGGCCAGGATACAGTCCCTGCTTTCAGAACTGCTGTATGTGAGCAGCAGAACCAGAAAACGGAATGTGATGAAACCAGGTTCAGCCCGGGGGTGGCGAAGGGGTGTTTCGGGGGCACCTAAAACAGGCCTAATCTCTGTCGAGCTTTTGTTACCAACCACCTCTAGA